CCCCCCCCTTTCTTTTTTTTGAATGTGAAGAGTTGAAAAGCCTGTTTACTTTTTGTCTTTGATGTTGGGAGGATCTGGTTTTGATTAGATCAATACTCCTTTTTTCTCTCCCCCCCCCCCCCCTTTTTTTTTTCCCTTTGCAGAGAGGAGGCTCAGAGGATCCCCTGCTGACTCCAGGCAGAGGAAGGCAGAGGCGCAGGCAGCTCCTGGAGGAACTGGCAGCCCCTCTCCCCATCGGGCTCCGGAGCCATGAGCAGCGCTGTGGTCCTCGCCCACCTCCCAGAACACAGCAGCAGCTTCAGGGAAGACGCCCCCCGACCCCCTGTCCCGGGGGAGGAAGGAGAAGCACCATGCCCGCAACTCGCCAGCTCGTTTCTCCCCAAAAGCCAAAGCTTCAAGGCCATGCCGGTGCCTCCTGCCCCGCGGAGGAATGAGAACGGACTCGGGGAGCCGGAAGGCAGCGCATCTCCAGACTCCCCTCTGGCCAGATGGACCAAATCCTTGCATTCCTTGTTGGGAGATCAAGACGGTGCCTACCTTTTTCGGACCTTCCTGGAAAGGGAAAAATGTGTGGATACCTTAGACTTCTGGTTTGCCTGCAACGGCTTCAGGCAGATGGACCTTAAGGATACCAAAACTTTAAGAGTAGCCAAAGCTATATACAAAAGGTACATCGAGAACAACAGCATCGTCTCCAAGCAGCTCAAGCCTGCTACCAAGACCTACATAAGGGATAGCATCAAGAAGCAGCAGATAGATTCTATCATGTTTGATCAGGCACAGACTGAGATTCAGACTGTGATGGAGGAAAATGCTTACCAGATGTTTTTAACTTCTGATATATACCTCGAATATGTAAGGAGTGGAGGAGAGAATCCTGCTTACATGAACAGCAATGGACTGGGGAGCTTAAAAGTTGTCTGTGGCTATCTCCCGACCTTGAATGAAGAAGAGGAATGGAGCTGTGCAGACTTTAAAAACAAAATCTTGCCTTCGGTAGTTGGGCTATCCAGCAAGATGTTGAGGGTTACGGCGAATGTCAGAGCTACGGAAACGATCGAGAATGGATACAGGTAAGGGAACCCCTGGAAATTGTGCTTTGTTTTAACTTTAAGGACTTGGAGAGTGAGTTTCAGAAGGCTGTTGGGGAGGCGTGCTGGGGAGCTAGCAGGGAGCCAAGGGGAGGCTGGGCGTCCGTGGGGCTGAGAGCACGTGTGCTTCCCTGCACCTCCGAACACTGGAATTTGGGGGGTGTTGGCTGGGTTTGGGTTTTTTTTTTTCCCCCTCTGTACAGAGGAAAACGAGATATTTGTGCTCTTAAGCCCTACTGGCTCTTTCAGTTCTCTTATAGATCAAAAACTTCATAGCAACTATGTCCTCCAGACATACGTTAATTATTGGTTCAACTTTCAAACCTATTAAGAGCAGTAGTAGAGTGGATCATATAGGCGCATGAATAATGTAACCTACTAGTTCCCCAACTCCACCATCAACCAGTGTTTAACTATGTTGGTTATGTGGGAAGCAATTGTGTGGTCATGGAGGAGGAAATGCATGCACTTACAACATCAAACTCTGCAACTTGCACAAAATCTGCTTTTATTTTGACCGTGTGTGTGTGATCTGCAGCCTCTCCCATCGCGTTGGGTGTTGGTATCGTGTCAAAGCCATTTAGGGTGGCTTTGAGCCAGTGCATACAGGAAGATACTTAAAATTGAGTACTTAAGGTAACAGAGACATTCCAGGTATAGAGTAATAGCAGATCTTTGGTGCTCTCCTGTAGATCTTTGGTGCTCTTCTGTTGGCTGTGTGCTCAAAGTTAAACTCATTAAAACGTGGTTGTGTCTAATGGCAGCTCATGAGGATGCGGGGAGCGTTGTGTGGTGGCAGGGTCGTCTTGGGGTGCATCTGTGTTGCTGAACCCTTCTCTTTTGTTGGAAATGTTGATGGCACAGCAGTGTGAGGGTGAAGAAAGTAAGAGCCATCTCGAAGTGAAGGGGGGGATGGGAAAGAGACTCTGATGAGCAAATGATGAGTTGTATAATCCTCTGAAAATGTATTCTTTCCTCTCCCCACCCTTGCCATAAATGTGGATTGTTGAATCAGGGCTGAGAGGAGAGGGCTCTGCTGGCAGATGTGCGCTCTCCTCTGCTGGCCCAGGAGGTTGGGGTTTGGTATGGTGAGTGTTTGACATCTCGTTTACAGGAATTTTGAGAGTGTGTCTGTGATTCATGGACATCAAAGGGCACCAGCCTTCTCCTGGGGAGGCTTTGCTGGAGCGCGCCCTCCTCTCCCGCCCTGTGGAGAGCTTCCAGCTGTGCCGGGCTTCCCGGCGCTGAGCCGCCGGGAGCTGGGAGGGTCCTCTTGCCCGCGAGGGTGCTGCGGAGCCAGAGGCCTCTTTGGTCCTCTCCTGGAGGCCCTCCCTGCCAGCGGAGGGGTGGTGGGCGTGGGTGCAGACAGGAGGGATGCGCTTCATCCCGGCGTGGCCTCTGGACCTCTCCCGCTGAGGGGC